TATTTACTATATGCTCCAACTTTTTTATTTTTTTGTATTTTTGTATTATTTTATAATTCTTTTACTTAGATTTTTTTTTTTGTGAGGCTTACGCCTCGACGCTTACGCCTCGCCTCATAAAGAAAAACCGCCTCAATACTTAGTTTCGCCTTTTTAAACCTTGAACACAATAGGTGATTTTGGAATGTCAACCTCCTCTGTTCTTTATTCCTCTACTGACTTGAGTTAGTGTTACAAGGCATTGAGAACTCGATGCAGAAGCATGCTTTAGTTTTGTAATTTTTATTCTTGAAAATGTCTCTGAAGTCATTAAAATCTTTGTTACTTTCTATTTTGTAGTGATGAGAAAACAGAAAATGTATCTGCTGAAGCAGCTGAAGATAGAGATCCACAGATGTGATGTTGAGCTTTGATGCTGAAAGTTATCGATGCGCTGAACACATGACCTTTTGTCTTTACTTTTCTTTCTTTCTTTTTTTCTGTTTTTTGTTTTTTTACTAATGTATTGTGAGGTACAACAGAGGCAATTTTGTAAGAGTTACAAGCAGAATATCCTTAAAGTTCTAAGGATTGATTGTGTACATGAATTCTTCGTCATTATATAGAACTTCGTTTCTTGACTACTGCAGAAGTTTAGTGCTTTAATTACTTGTTACTGCTGGTTATGTCGATTGTTCTTTCAGCAATAAAAGATTCTGTTTTTGTTTCCTTTCCGTTTTCTTTTTTACTTTATTTTTATTTAATAGAAAGTGATTGTATATACTTCTCTTTGCATTGAATTAATTTTAGCCTTTTCACACACCTTCTTTCAAAATACATTATTTCATAACTCATTTTCAATTATATATTTTTCAATAAAATAATATTTTCTATCACATCAATAATTTTTCTTTACTTTATAACCACATATTTCCCTATTTAAAATACATTCTTTTTTCAATAATATCTATCAAACATAGCAGTGTCATTTTTAAGAGGAAGGTTAGCCCATGTTTGTTGGTCAGTTTTTTGGAAAAATATTGTTTTCAATAGTGAATTTTTGGAAAATGTGTGGTTAAAAAGTAGGGAAAAGTTTTGAGTTTATGTGTATAATATTTTATTGTGTGAATATATGATTGAAAATGAGCATTTAGGAAACAGAAGTTTTGAAAGAGTGAAAGATAAACAATGGCTTAGTCTAGAAGATGAAATTGATGAGACGATAATATAATGAAAGGACGACAATGATGAAACAAGTCAACATTTCTCTATTCTTATTGATTTGAGTCGGGTCATAGAGCTATGCCACCGTTTGGCTTCCATTATTTCCTTCCCCCTTAGAGGAAATTGCACTAAATGTCATTTTTTGGCTTTTTATTTTCAAAAATGTCACTTTTTAAAAGCCTTTGCAAGAATGTCATTTTTGGACATTTTTTCCTCTTTAAAGAATTTAAATATCTAACAC